ATGGAGCGCTTTCTCAATCTGAGATTTTGCTTCCTGGCAATTGAATCAGTTTGGCTCAAACAAACTCTTATAAGTTTTCAAAAAAAAAAAAAAAAGTTCATACCTATTCACTTAGTAAACCCACTTGTCAGAATCTGTCTTAATTAATAAGCCAAAAGACATTTGCACAAAAATCTTAATTTAAATATGACTTAAACTAGCCAAACTGTGGAAGTATTCTACATGTCTGGAAATAGAAAAATTCTTAAATAATTAATGGCATAACTGCTTGATCGAATACAATATAGCTATTAAAATAATAATATCCATCCTCTGTAGTAACATTACTACATGTTAATGAGGCAATATTAAGAATTTTTAAGTAGTAACACATGATTTTTCACATCAATCACATTGGGCTTTTCCAGGTGGCAAGGAACAAAGTAGACTCTTTTGTTGGCCAGGAGTTTAGTCTAAGGACACATGGGGAAGTAGGGAGACAGGACACAATGGGACCTGCAGCAAAGTCAAGCAATGCAGAGAATAAACATCGTTTGGGGCCTGAAGGTTATTCAGGTTGTCACCTCATTATGCATGGGCCCTCAGTACTGGCTGGGCTCCATCCGTGAGCTCTTCTGTGTGGTGGACCTTTCTGTGTTTCTATGGCTCAGTTTTTCCCGCTACTCAAGCCTCTGCTTACTCTGACTTCCACAGCTTCTGCTTACTGATTTCTGCTTGCCCCCAGTTTTCTGTGTGTCTCACATTTAAACTCCCCAAGAAAGGGGATCTAATTGCTTTAGTTCCTTATGATTTCATTAGTCAGAGCTCTCAGGCCAGAGAGATATATATACACACACTGTGCTTCCATTAGGTGCCCAATCCTGATCCAATGAGCTCCAGTCCAAAAAAGGGTGGGCATACAGCATGAATGTGGCAGGTACTTCAACCATATCAGCCACCTATCCAATACAAGCATAGTTTTGAACTATGCTTAAGATAATAAGTAAAAACTATGTAAGATACATATGCAAACATGGGAAAGGGATAAATTAAAGCCATCATAGGTTAATGTGGAGGGATTACAGGCGATTATTTTTCTCCATTTTGCAATTTTCATTTAATGATACTAAAATTGCTTTTTAGTTTTCAAGTATTTTTTAGAAAATAATCTCCCCCAAGCAATTTTACTCATGCAACCAAGTTACTGTGTTCAGTCTCTCTATGAACTTGTCTTGGAACAGAGAGCAAAGTCACAACCATTAAAGCTCATGGTCACCTTTGCACAGGTAGAGCAACTTACCTTGCCAGGTGTAAAGGTGAAGGCCATAATTGTAGATTGTGAAAGCACCTTGGAGGCAAAAGTGTCTGTTATTACCATGAAAACTCCTTTTAAACTGCTATAATAGCATATGCCACATAAGCAAAACACAGAACCTTATAACTTATTTGGTTGTGGAAAGACGTCCTTTGTCTACCCGCCAAGTATTTGAAAATACCACCCACTCAACTGGCAGACATCTCCAGGACCCAAGAGAAGCTACCACAGCAGTTTCGTGAAACCAGCCACCCCTGGCTTCACTTTGATCTTCCTGTCTACACCCTTGTTTTCAGTTCCTCTGCCACAGACATACAATTACTAAATATTATTATTGCTTGATAATAACTATAATTACAAGGACGACCTAAGATGGAAAAGACAGGAGAAACCGAATTTCCATATGGATTGGTGTATGAGCTGGACAGTCTGTGCGTATCTCGTAAAGCCTGAACCCCCTCCTAATCAGTCCCCAGCATTAACTCGGGGCGCACAGGTGAGAGCCGGAACCTCAAAGCTCGAGTTTTTAGTACTCTCTTCCAGGGCAGACGCCTGGTCTAGCGATTCGGAAAACGAGATGTGAAATCCTCCCGCGCTCCTAGAGAAGACCCGGAAGAGCAGCGCAGTCCCGGAAGACGAGGTGGTGATATAGTTCCGGCCTTTGTGACTCATTGTGTGTGTGTCGAGGCGTCGGGAGGGCCTAGGTCCTTGTGCGGCGCCCTTCGGCCGGCCTGAGCCCCAGAGTCAGCTCCCCTTTCTCGCCCAGCGCCCCAAAGCGGCTCCCGGGGCTCACGGTGAGACTTGGGCCGGCCTCTGGGGAGGGCGGGCGGGGCCGCAGAGCGGTGTGCGTGAGGGTGGGCTCTGCAGCTGCGGCCCCGGGGTCCCCTCCAGGCGGCCCGGGCGGAGTGTGAAGACAGTCCCTGTCCCTTTCCTAGGCCCGGTCATAGGAAGCGCTGTCTCCCAGGGAGACATCTCCGCCCCACCCCCGGGTCCAGGCGGGAAGGGGGCGAGGGTCTAGTGGTCGGGGGTGCTCGGAGACTGCAGGGAAGCCGGCTGCGGGCCCTTTCCGGGCCCCTTGCCCGCAATGTCGTCATCGTCGTTTGACGTTTCTGAGGAGGGGGTCGCAAGCGAACCCACGATCCGTCAGATTTTTCTGCTCTCCTTTCGTCGCCATTTGCTCTGATTCCAGTGAGAGATTTTCTTCGGGGTCCTTCAGGACCTCCAGGTGAAAAATACGGAAGGCCGAGAAATGGACACGTTTTGAAGTGCTGCATATGTGTTTCCACATCACCTGCTTCTCTTCACCCCACCCCCACCCCTACTCCCTGTCCGGTGATTAAAGAGTAGTTGAAGCCTAGTCAGAGTGGATAAAGAAGTGATTGGGATCTAGTAGAGATTATATACGACCCAGTCTCTTTCCCTTTCAGCCGTATGGAGTATTTTGAAGCCTTTTAGAAATGAGCTGTCAGGAAGATTAAGTGGATTTTTCGGTTCTGGGTAGCTACTCTGCTGGACTTAGCGTGGGTGGAGGGTGAAGGGAATTTGTGGAAATTGCACTTGGCCATTAGGAGACTGATAAACTGAGTGACCTTGGATAAGACAAGACACTGCCAACTCTCAATTTTGTCATCACTAAAATTAACTAGGTTTTCCCAAGAGGTCCTTTCAACTTTCAAATTATTTGATTTAGTGTAATTGAAAAATTCAACTATAGTTTACTCTGACACTGCCCCCCTCCCCTCCCTTTCCTGCAGTGCCTACAGTACACAATAAGATACTTTCATTATAGAGAGTGGCTATTACATGGCTTGGGACCAAAGAAAGCATTTATTGTACAGGCCAGTGCTAGGCAGATTGGAGGTGGTCAATAAATACTTGTTGAATTGAATTGTGGAGAATTCATTGTAACCGAATCAACAAAGTACTATTACTATATATGCTGGCCAAATGAAATAGATTTATTACATAGGGAACCGTAATGATAATTTGCCCCAGAGTGTTTCTCCAAGTTTATATTGACTTTGAATTACTATGCAAGATTCTTGTTCATTATTTCAGGCAGTTTTCACCAATCTTAAAATACAAACAGGGAAGCTAGCTACTTAATACTATACAGTCTTTTGCTTATTCTCGACTTGATCTAAGCATTTAATTTTTTTCTAACTTTATATTGCCTCTAAATACACATTAGTGTTAAATCTTAACTTTTCATTCTGAGGTAGTATCAATATTCTTTGTGTGACTAGCTGTAATTTAAACATAGCTTTTTTATATTTTAAATCAATTTATAGCTCTGTTAAAAAATGGAGGAGGGGGCACTGTTTGTTTAAACTTTGAAGACTACACCCTGGAAAAGATAATGGCCTATTTAGAAACTAGCCTTTGGAATACACTGAGCTTGTAACTACAAATACTTTTTGTAAGAAAATCATTCATATTTATCCTTGGTGAGAACCAGATGCTGGGGGAGTAATCTTATCTAAATCGGATAGTATGTCAGAATGTTTTTCAGCTCAGAGGGACCCCAGAGGTAGTATTTTCTTTTCCACAGTCCCTCCTCCCCCACCCCCCAATTTGACAGATAAAGATACTGAGTGCCAGAGAAGTTAAATAACTCACACAGGCATGTGGAACTTATTTGTGGGTGACTAGAATTCAGGTGTTTCAACCTGTGCTGCTTTCAGTATTGCAGGATTTCTCCCACTGCTTAATCTTTTAAGCAGGCTGAAAATTGGATAGCACAGTTATATCTCTTAAGTTCATTGAAAAAAATTAAAATGCTTCTCTAGTGCTTCCCTAAGTGCCACTCTTTTAAGTGCTTTATATATGTTAACTCATTTAATCCTCACAACAATTCTGTGAGGCAAATATGTTTTTTATCCCCATTGTACAGATGAGGAAACATGCATACAGAGAATATTTGCCTAAAATCAGCTAGTATGTAGGTGGAGCAGCTTAATGAAACTCTTCCAAGTAGCCAATTTGAGGGCAACATTGAATAATGTATGAATGGGCAAAAAAATACTAACATTGTAGATTCAGTAAAGTATTTTTTAAAAACTAATGCTTGCAAGGAATCATTCTGAGTGGTCTAAGAGACACAAAGAAACATACCTTTAACAATACAGTAAGTACCCGACTTACGAACATTCGAGTTGCGAACTTTCACAGATATAAACGGACCTCGCATTACGAACATTCGTAGATGTGAACAAATCGTGGAAGTAGCTTACATGTCTGCTGACATCACAGTTGTGCTGCTGTGTGCTTACTGTACAGTGTGATAGTGTATAGTAGTACAGTGCTCAATCAGAGCCCAGGATGTCCTGAAACAAGAGGAAAAGCAGTGGTGATGTGGAGGGGGCTGCTAGGAAGAGCAAAGCAATAACCATGGAAACAAAAGTGAAAATAATTGGGAGATTGGACTGAGGTGAAAAGATGGTAGATGTCACTCGTTCTTCTATTGGGGCTGTCGGAAAAGTCAACGCATTTTTGCAACAAAAATCAGAAAGAATATGTCATGACTTTTCCAACAACCCAATAACATGAATCGTTCTACCACTGGCTTTACATTGTATATTTGTGTCAAAGGTGTATAAAACTCACTTTATCAGACTTACGAACGAATCCGACTTACGAACGTTCTCCTGGAACAGAACTCGTTCATAAGTCAGGGACTTACTGTAGTCTAGTTGAGGAGGGAAGGCATGAAAAATTAAATTACAGAAAAAGAAACAGCATAAGAACTTCCATAGCAAATGTAGGACCAGAAGTTTAGAGAGAGGAAAAGAGCTGTGTGCTCACTTTGTCTGGGAAACCTAAACCCAAACCCAGCCCTTCCACTGCTTTTGTGACTTTTCTCTTGTCCAGAGTAGAAGCAGAGAAATATTGGGGGATAGGGGAGAGGACCTGTTGAAATTGTGGGATGAGGGAATGTGCCCAATGCCCTCATCTCTGTCCCTTGATGTCTCACTTCTTCCTCAGTATCTCTTATTAAGTCCCACTGACTCAAGGAGTATCCTACTCTTTAAAACTCTGGCCTCAGTGTGAGTACAAATCAAGATTCCTTTCTTTTATTCTTAATACAGCTGAGACATGATAGAATTTTCATAAAAATAGGGACTTCTGATGCTAGGCTAATTACTAGTTCTGCTCCATTATCCTCTTTGAAGGTCCCACCTGATTGATTTTAGATACTTCCACTTGCATCTCTGGAAAAGATGCATCTCCTGCTGTGTCTCCTTAGTCACACAGCTTTGTAGTAAAAACTGGATGACAGATATGGCCTATTCCTCATTGGTCATCCTTCATAGGCACCGTCACAGGCCTTGCTCTTAAAAAGAATTTATGTGCACAGAAGCCCTTCCTTACCCCACATGTTGGGACAGAGTGAGTTTGATATGATGGTTAGAGCTTGAACTGAGGAGCCCTGCAGACCTAATTTCAAATCCTGGCTCTACCATTTAATTGCTGTGTGAACTTGGGTATGTTATTTAACATCAGTAAACCTTAGTTTTATCATTATAAAGTGTGATGATAATCGTACCTACCTCCTAAAGTTTTTGTTTGAATGTTAATACCTGGTACGTAGAAGGCACTCAGTAAATATTGGCTCTTACTATTAGGCCTACTAGAGGCTTTCTAAACAGCAGTGAAGAGCAAGTAGCATTTTAGCTTAGCTCTGAAAGATAAGTAGGCATTGAGTAGGATGTGAGGAAAGGATGGCAGTCAAAATACAAGGCATATACTGAGTAGACTCATTTTGCTGGATGAAAAGATTAATGCAGGAGAGGGGGAGAAATTGATGGGCAATGAAGCTTGAGGGGAAGCTGGGACCACCAGATACAGGATGGTGTTGACTGCAAGGCTATAGAGTTTTAGGAAGAATAATCTGAGAGTAAGATGGGAGATTAAGGGGACGGGGGGTAGGGAGAAAAGGAAGGCAGGGACCAAAGAGAGGAAGCTGGACTTCACAGAACTAGATAGAAAAATAAGTATGAACAAAGAATTACTTCTCCCTGGTGCTTGGAGACAGAGTGCACGTGAGAAGACAGGAATCAAAGAAGGTAAGATTCTGAACCTGAGTGAGATAGTAGTAGAATATCTGATCACTAATTTGCCACTAAAGGCAATAAGAAGATGGCAGGGGGAGCTGTAATAGTTTGAGTAGTTCTTATTTCTTCTATTCAGCTTAACAATTAAACTCTGCTAGGTTCTCTAGGAGATAAGTGCAAAGATGACAAGAGTCCATGTCCTTGAGTGGCTTAAAATTTGGGAGGTGAGATAGGAACTGTAACCCAAATAATGATAAATACAAAGGGAATATAAGTGCCTTAAGATCTAGGAACAAAGAAAGTACTAAGGGTGTTCAAAGGAGGAAGATACCTTATTTAACTTGGAATGTCAGGAGACATTATACATCTTGAAAGGTGAGTAAAAATTTGACCAATAGAGTTGATATGGTGGGAGATTGTTCCCAGTAAAGAGGTGAAGATGAAACACACACCCTATGGTTGGGGAGCATTAATGGGCCAGATAGGCTGGAATATAGGGGATCACCACTAAGAAAAGTAGTGGGAGGTAAGACTGAAAAATAGAGTGGGGTATGTTCTTTGAAAGTTAAATTGGTAGATATCAAGAACTCCTTGACAGTAATTGAGGGAAAGAAGTAAATGACCAGAAGCATACTTTTGACAATACTGCGTTGGTCTTGGTCTGTTGCTTATATTAGAACAGGGAGAAAGTGAAGCCAGAGAAACTATGGGGCTATGGCACTAAACTAGGCAGGAGATATGGAGCTTGAGTTAGGGTGGTGGAAAATAATTATGGGACACGTAGCAGGAAAAGATAGTTTTTCTTTTGACTTTTCAAAATTAAAAGAAATAAACTAAGGCTTATAGGAATTATTTAGCCTCCAGTTGGGTTAAGCTAGCCCAAGGGGTGATCTCTTATACTATCTACTGCTGTCTTTTCCTGTAGATGTCCTGGCTCTTCCGCTCAGACACAAAACAGTGACGCTCCACTTCTGCTCATGGGCATCTTTCTCTGTCCCCACCGGCAGCGCTGTCACACGGGGTGCAAAGGGGTGGGGGGGGGGGGAGACCCTCTTCCTGGAAGCTGCCTTGTTAATGCATGGCTACTTCTCAGGGCTCCTCTAGCACTCCTGTTGAAACCTCCTTAGCACTGTTAGCACACACAGCTTTGTACTATAATTATTTGTGTAAAAATAGGAATCGGGCTTCTCATCTTTTTATTCCCCTCAGTCTAGCAGGATGCTTTGCATGTTGTAGATATGCAGAAATGTTTAGGAAATTGAAGGAGGGTGGGGTGCAAAACAGGTTTGAAGGAGTCAATGGGAAGGGCTAGAAGATGGTTTGCAATGGGACTTTTACCAGCTTAAAATCATTGGCGAAATAACTTAATTCCTGCATTCCCTTTATATTTATGTAGAAAGCCTTTTTTTTTCTTTTTTTCTTTTTTTTTAAGATTTTATTGGAGAATTGGGGGAGGGAACAGAAAACTTGTTATCCTTTTGTTCTTCAGTCTAGTTGTGGAGGACATCACTTCACCGGCCCATGTTAGTATTGTGATCATTGCACTCTTCCCGGGTGAGACAAATTGGTTCCTGGCCACTGGACGGCTGCTCACGGCGGCTCTTGGCAGCTCATGCTGGCTGCCAGCCACTCACAATAGCTCACGGCAGCCCACTGCAGCAGAGGCTGCAGCCTACAACGTCGCCTGCGACTCACAGCAGCCCAGCTCCAGGTCGAGCTGTTGTTCACCATCTTAACTGTAGAGGGCGCAGCGTCACTGGCCCTAATGTGGGATTCGAACCAGGGCCCTGCTGCTCAGAGTTGGCGTCTCAAGCCAGCTCTTAACCAACGCGCCACTCAGCCGGCCCCAGAGGCATTCTTGTGCCTTGATGTGTAGCCTTTTATGAAGTATTAGCAGCATGGTTCACTTTCATAAAGGTACTAACAACTTTTTTAATATTTCAGGAATAGTACAGAAACAGATATCAAAAAACATCTCCTAGGTCAGAAAGGCGAACACAGACCCTATTTGGATCAAGTCAGTTTCCTGAGCCTGAATGATGACTGCTGAATCAAGGGAAGCCACAGGCCTGTCCCCACAGGCTGCCCAAGAGAAGGATGGTATTGTAATAGTGAAGGTAGAAGAGGAAGATGAGGAAGACCACATGTGGGGGCAGGATTCCAGCCTGCAGGACACTCCTCCTCCTGACCCAGAGATCTTCCGCCAACGTTTCAGGCACTTCTGTTATCAAAACACTTTTGGGCCTCGAGAGGCTCTGAGTCGACTGAAGGAACTTTGTCACCAGTGGCTACGACCAGAGGTAAACACCAAGGAGCAGATCCTGGAGCTGCTGGTGCTGGAGCAGTTCCTTTCCATCCTGCCCAAGGAGCTCCAAGTCTGGCTGCAGGAGTACCGGCCTGATAGTGGGGAGGAGGCCGTGACCCTTCTGGAAGACTTGGAGCTTGATTTATCTGGACAGCAGGTAAGAAGAGGTGAAACCTATTATATGTGAGCAGCACGCATACTGAGACTGGAGTAAAGAGGAAGTTACTGATTTAAAGCTTGTATTTAATAGTTTTAGTAGTAGTTTAGTATTAATATTAAGATATAATATATAAGCTATTATTTACATAATATATATAATATTAAGATATTAAGATATAAGCTACTGCTTATATATATAATAGCTATATTATATATATTATAATATATGCATGTATAATGTTATATATGAAATAAATTAATGTATAAGCTACTACTAATATAAGCTAATATTAGTAGTCTGGTGGTTATTCTCCCTGCTCTGCTTGGATATTAAAAAGTATTATGGCCTTCCCCCTCCTGCATCCACGGGTATACTTACAGTCTTTTCGTTCATTTAAAGCCCTGTTTAAAAAGTGATTTACCCACAAGCCCAACCGGTTTGTCTTCAGGTCCCAGGTCAAGTTCATGGACCTGAGATGCTCGCAAGGGGGATGGTGCCTCTGGATCCAATACAGGAGTCCTCGAGCTTTGACCTGCATCATGAGGCCACCCAGTCCCATTTCAAGCATTCATCTCGGAAACCCCGCCTCTTACAATCACGGGGTAAGAAGCAAAGTTTCTTGTTGGGAAAAGAAGCAAACTATTCAGGATGTTGTGTCCCTCTCTGTGTTGCTAAGTGCCTGTAATAAAGAAGCATGCTTCTTTTTTATCCATTATTGTCATTATTACTAAATATTAGGGGAAATATAACTTATAGACCAATCTCAGGAGTTAAATAATGTTATTAAGGAAGTAAATAAAATGTGCATAATGAACTTGGGTGGACTTCACATTGTGTATTGAGTTGTTAGCATTCTGAATGTCTAACAGATTTTTTTTTTTACAGGAAAGTGCTGGGAAGACATATATTTTCAGCTTGGGTTTTGAAACACTATAGTATGTCATAAATTACCTTATAAAGGATCATTTTTAAAATTAATTTTATTTAAAATGTGTAAAAACTGTTGTATAACATCACTGTTTTTCTAGGTTACTTTCAGAATTTTCAAACAATGGGAAATGATGGGAAAATTTTATTTTGGTTGTACATGAGGAAAAAATCATTTCAGGGTCATATAAATAATCAGTTTAATTATTTTTCCTTTTGGGGGAAATATTAACAATATCTTTATCCAATTTTAAAATCAAAGTAGTACATAGCATATCAGCAAAAACAGTAATATACTAAAAGTACGGTTGTTCAGGAAGAGTTGATAGAGGCACGTTCCTTGACCAGTATGTTTCTTTGTGATGACATTTAAGGTAGGAATATTAGCACTTAAGGAAGCATCCTCTTCTTTGCATTGTGGAGGATAGCCAGCATTTGTATGCTGGAGAAATCCGAGGAAACCAATGCACTGGGATGTTTAATCCACCACTGTCCACCCTGTCCCGTTTATGACCTAGGGCTTGTAAAGTCTCCACACCCCACAAGGGGTGAAATCAGGAAATTGAAGAAGATAATCATGGATATAAAGTGCCAGAGCTTCAGGTTGCCAAAGTAATAGTTTTAGAACCCCTGGTAATGATATAGTTGTTACTTAGTAAATAGTTTTTCAACCAATTGAAGCATATGCATTCTCAATTTCCTCTTTGTGCTATTCATCTTTCCAGAGTGTTTCCTAACATTCAGAAAGTTAAAGTGCTAGGCACTTGACCTTTTCATACATTTTGTTTTAGCTTATCTTATTATTGTACTGTCTGAAGTAGTTACAAGTTTAGTAATTCAGTTTCAAATTCACTTCTCTAGTATCTTTGCAGCTCAGTAATATCATGTTTACCATTAACATTTCCAAATCTAATATTACTTGGCAAGGTAGGATTTTAATTTCACAGTTTAAAATGTTTCTAATTGTTCTTGCCCATCGCAGTTAGTGTGATCATATGATATATTATAGATGTCTTTTATTAGATGAGTGTTAGCTTATACCTTTATACACTTGTAAATGTCTCATTAACATTTGAACCGTATATACATTTTATCAAAAAACTGGATAAGTGAGGGAGAAAAGGAGAGGGACAAAAAATGGCAAAACTTACCAGAAGTAAAAGACCCCATTCCTACCTGTGTTTCAAGATGTTAAAGCTGTTCTGGGCCGGCCCAGTGGCGTGTTGGTTAAGAGTTGGCTTGGGATGCCAGCTCTGAGCCGCAAGGCCCCGGTTCAGATCCCACATGAGGGCCAGTGACACTGCGCCCTCTACAGCTGAGATGGTGAACAATGGCTCGACCTGGAGCTGGGCTGCCATGAGCCGCCGGCGACAGCTAGGCTGCAATGAAGCTGCAGTGGGCTTCTATAAGCTACCATGAGTGGCCAGTGGCCGGCAGCCAGTGTGAGCTGCCAAGAGCCGCCGTGAGCGGCCAGCAACCATCTGCCTCACCCAGGAAGAGTGCAATGATAATACCAACATGGATCAGTGAAGCGATGTCCTCCACAACTAGACTGAAGAACAAAAGGACAGCGACTTGTCTGTTCCCCTCCCCCAATTCCCCAATAAAATCTTTAAAAAAAAAAAAAAAAGATATTAAAGCTGTTCTTGAGTTTTTCACAACTAAATGGGATCTGATGTCCTGGTACTTGTTCCTCGGACTGGAGAAAATTAAATTTTGAGCCAAGCTTGAATCATGGGCTGAATGTTACCCACTTCTGTTGCCGAAAGTAGAAATCTGGGTTCTAGTTCTGGCTCTGCTGGGGTTTTTTTGTTTTTTAAGATTTTACTGGGGAATTGAGGGAGGGGAACAGCGCTGGGGAATCGGAACGGGAACAGACAAGTTGCTGTCCTTTTGTTCTTCAGTCTAGTTGTGGAGGACGTCGCTTCACTGGCCCATGTTGGTATCATCATTGCACTCTTCCCGGGTGAGGTGGATCGATTGCCGGCCTCTGGATGGCCGCTCACAGCGGCTCTTGACAGCTGACACCAGCTGCTGGCCGCTCACGCTGGCTGTCGACCACACACGGTAGCTTATAGCAGCCCACTGCAGCAGGGGTTGCAGCCTACGCCATCGCCGGCGGACTCATGGCAGCCCAGCTCCAGGTCGAGCTGTTGTTCACCATCTTAGCTGTAGAGGGCAGCGTCACTGGCCCTTATGTGGGATCCAAACCGGGGCCCTGCTGCTCAGAGCTGGCGTCCCAAGCCAGCTCTTAACCAATGCGCCACTCAGCCGGCCCTCTGCCATTCTTAACTGTGTGACATTAGACAAGTCATTTACCCTTTCAGGGCCTCAGTTTTCCCTTCTTTAAAACAAAGGGTTTGGACCCGGTGATTTTAAGGACCTTTTCATGATTCCTTGTGACTCCTGTTTAAGAATAGAAGTCTTGGGAAAACATAGGCCATGCTTTATCTCGTTTATAGTCTCTCTAGTTATCTATTCTGTAGTTAAACATTGAACATGCTGGTGCAGGAAAAACAGTGCCTCTTGGGCCCTTCTTTGAGGGGAGGCCCAGAGCAGAGCTGGTTTTACTCACAGCTCCTTTCTTCTCCCCTAGCTCTGCCCGCCACCCACGTTCCTGCCCCTCATCACCAGGGTCCCAGAGACCAGGCAATGGCATCTTCACTACTCACAGCAGATTCCCAGGTAAGCTGTGGCCCCTCTGCCCTCCTGAATCCCTCCCTCATATCTGCTTCTGCCTGGAGCTCTTTTAGCAGTCTCCAGCCAGGACTCACTTTCCATGGCCCTGCCCACAGAGGAGCCCACCCACCCCCAATCCACCAGAGCTTGCCATGGTCACCATTTCTTTCCCAGCACCCTCTACATTTGCAGTTAACTCTGTCCCTAACTCCAGGTTTTGGCAGTGGGTATTTCCCTGAGCTTTGGGGGAACTGAGTGTGGTGATCTTATATTATTTCAGGCAATGGTGAAGATTGAGGACATGGCTGTGTCCCTCATCCTGGAGGAATGGGGATGTCAGAACCTGGCTCGGAGGAATCTCAGTAGGGACAACAGGCAGGAGAATTATGGGAACGTGTTTTCCCAGGGTAAGATTGATGCAGGATTATTGTCTGATCAAAGATTGTTTTGCCTCTTTTTTTGTTAATTGTGGGATCTCTGATGTATTCAGTTCAGTGTTGACAAGGATTTAGAGACCACTGAGCCCCTTTCTTCAGACCAGAGAATGAGAACATGTGTATCCATTTAACCCCAGAAGCCTGATACTGTGACTTCCTGTTTCCAGGTGGATTTTTAACCTCTAGGTAGTTTTTGCTGTTTGAAATCAGAAATACTCTTGTATTTTGAGTCCTCACCTCTTCCACCACTCTGTTACCTGGGAGGATTCTGCTTCACTTTGTAGGCTACAATTTAGATGCCTCTGTTGGGGGAGTATCTGTATTTCCTAGTGTAGAGGACCAGGTAAGAATTGATCTTCAGTCTAATCTAACCTGGGACCGTGTTCCTGACCTACCAAACAAGCATCCTTCCATGGGCTTTCTGTCCTCTTCCCTCATATGAGCGCTGCTCTGGGACAGCTTTGCATAATTCCATGAACGTGCGCCAGCACTTCCTTATGATCAGGATTCTCAGTTCCCAAACCGAATAGTAGTCTATTACTACACACCCTAGTTCCTGGGTGTGTAGTAAGAACAAATTCTAAGAGGCATCAACCAGATAAGACAAAGTGATACACAGTTGACAAATATTCCCATTTGTCTCTGCTAGATCTCAACCCCTGGGAGACATTACTGAAAAGAAGCTCTCAAGTCTTGTCATAGGGAAGTCCACAGTGAGGCTTCTGCCTGGGGAGGGTAGAGGGAGGGCAAATGAAGAAAAGCTGTTACTAAAGATACCTCAAGTTTTGTTTTGAACTGCAAGGATAACAGGTTTATGATTTCTCGGTACTTGCTCTTTGGACTAGATAAAAATTAAGCTAAAGAACTGATCTGTGTTTATGAGCTGGGTATTATCTACTCCATGATAACTTAGGGGGAAAAAAAAAAAAAGAATTGGACAGTCTGGGAACTGTCCAGATAAGGAACTTGGCTTGGAATTCAAAAAAGGTGGACCAGTTTCTTCTTCCTTAAGATTGGTTCGGTATTTATGGCAATTTTGTCACTAAAGTCAGGGATTAGATATTATTCAGCTCCCTCAGGAGTTGCATTCAGGGGCCTGTTTGTCATAGTGCAGGCCCTCTTGGACAGGTTTCTTAGGCCAAATAAATAAAAAACAGACTTGGGACATTTTTGGAGTTTTTTTCTAGGCAAATGTAAACATACAGTATATGTGTATTGAACAAGTTTTAATATCTGCTTAAAAACAGTGAATATAACAGTCTACAATAAAAATACATTCCAATGTTTTAATACACTAAATGCTTAAATGAGAGGATCAGCTCTGCATTTGTAAAATTTTGTTTTCTTCTGGTATCTCCTTCTTGGGCTATCTCTGGAAATGTTTTCAGTTTCTTTTCTGTTCTCAGTTATTCTGTTGTCTTTCGGTAAAGATTTTAATTGTGTTTACTAATGCCCCAACCAACTTCTTCACCCTCATCTCTGTTACTTGAGCACTGTCAGCTTTATGCTGCTTTCCCTGGTGGAGAGAAACTTTCCTGTGTCTGAACATCCACATGACCTGCCAAGTTCAGAGCTCCTTGTTTTGCCTATTAATCATCTCCTTGTTGATAAAAATCTCACAGAATTGAGGAGTTTTTTCTTTTCCTTTATTAACTATAGTCCCTTGTTTCTGCTAATACCCTTACCATTTTCTAGGACAGACCTGTCCTCTTTTTTTTGTTTGTTTGTTTTCTTTTTAAGATTTTATTGGGGAATTGGGGAAGGGGAACAGCTTTGGGGAAGGGGAACAGATAAGTTGCTGTCCTTTTGTCCTTCATCTGTTGGTGGAGGACGCCACTTCACTGGCCCATGTTGGTATTATCATTGTGCTCTTCCTGGGTGAGGCAATTAGATTGGTCGCCGGCCATTGGATAGCCGCTCACGGTGTCTCTTGGCAGCTCACACCAGCTGCTGGCCATTCACTTGGGCTGCTGGCCACACACGGTAGCTTACAGCAGCCCACTGCCACAGCGGCTGCAGCCGACACCATCGCCGTCCACTCACAACAGCCGAGCTCCAGGTCGAGCTGTTCATCATCTTAGCTATAGAGGGCGCAGCGTCACTGGCCCTCATGTGGGATGCAAACCGGGGCCCTGCTGCTCAGAGCTAGCATCTCAAGCCAGCTCTTAACCAACGCGCCACTCGGCTGGCCCTCTGTTCTCTTTTTAAGCTCATAAATACTTATATTAGAGACAGAACATGATTTTTTACATGTATATTTGTTCCTTCAAATTAATAATTGGGTGACCAAAAAGTAGAAGTATGAATTGTAAACTCTTAGGTTCCTTAATTCCTCATCCCTTCCTTCCTTAACTGGTTCTCTTCCCCTCTGCTCATCCCCCATGTGTGTGTCTGTTCATTCCTATCCTCTCTGCACACTCCCTCTGTTGTTCTTTCCACTCTTTGCCTGCCCTCTCATTTCCCAACTCTATTCCCTGTTTTCTGTATTTTTTTCCTAATTTTTATCCTATTTTTTCTTCGATTAATATTGTGAGGCCATTTTGCAGGCATGTAGGAGCTTCCTGGAAAACAGTGTCACTTGATTAACCTATAGATTCAAAATAAAAAGGTGCTATTTGTGTTTTCTATTACATCAGGTTGTGAAAACAGGAATGAGAATGAGGAGTCAATCTCTAAAGCAGAAATCGCAGAAGACACAGCATCACATGGGGAGACAAGAGGAAGAATCCAGAAAGATTTTGGAGAAAAGCGTGAACAGCAGGGCAGAACAGAAAGGCAGCAGAGGAACCCTGAGGAGAAAACTGCAAGAGAAAAGAGAGATTCAGGGCCAGCTACAGTCAAGGAAAAAAAACTCACCACAGGAGAGAGAGGTCCCAGGGAGAAGGGTAAGGGATTGGGAAGAAGCTTCAGTCTGAGTTCAAACTTTAACACCCCTGAAGACGTTCCAACAGGAACGAAGTCTCATAGATGTGATGAATGTGGTAAGTGCTTCACAAGGAGTTCAAGCCTTATTCGCCATAAAATCATCCACACTGGAGAAAAGCCCTATGAATGTAGTGAGTGTGGGAAGGCCTTCAGTCTGAACTCAAACCTTGTCCTGCATCAGAGAATCCACACAGGAGAAAAACCTCACGAATGTAATGAGTGTGGCAAAGCCTTCAGCCACAGTTCAAATCTCATTCTGCATCAGCGAATCCACTCTGGAGAGAAACCTTACGAATGTAATGAGTGTGGGAAGGCCTTCAGCCAGAGCTCAGACCTTACAAAACATCAGAGAATCCACACGGGGGAGAAACCCTATGAATGTAGTGAATGTGGAAAAGCTTTCAACCGAAACTCATACCTTATTTTGCATCGGCGAATTCATACCCGAGAAAAGCCCTATAAGTGCACTAAGTGCGGCAAGGCCTTCACCCGGAGCTCGACCCTCACTCTGCATCACAGAATCCATACCAGAGAGCGAGCCTCCGAGTACAGTCCAGCCTCCCTTGATGCGTTTGGAGCATTCCTGAAAAGCTGTGTGTAAAGCGAGAATTTGTTGAAAAGCCATTTCCCCCTTTTGTTTCTAAAATTATTTCAGAGGTGTGTGCCCATGGAGGGGAAGAAAACATCCTCAACAGATTTTTTTAAATCACACTTAAGGATCCTTATAGTTAGATCAGCAGTGTTCTGCCTTTGCGTAGTCTGTGGGCATGTAATTCTTCCACACAGCCCCTGCAGGAAAAAGTTAGTCATATGGATAAGCCACATGCTATTTCCACACAAGATAAAAGCACATACACAGTAAATGTCAAGCTTTTCAGTAATGAGGATACCTTTAAAGGCGCTGCTAGACTCTCAGCAACCGCAACATAGAATTGAAAGATTAAGATTGGCTCTGTGAAAATGGTACTGAGGTTAAAGCTGCTTGCTGCAAACAAGTCCTGCTTGGCCAACATCCTGCTGTACCTTGTTTCTCAAAAAAGAGGGACAATTAAAACAAAAACTACATTGGGACTTGCTGCTCAAACTAGTTATATATACGATAAGTTATATATCTGATCACTGGTAGCCTACCAAAGCTATAGAAATCTAGGACTGTGCTGATCAGTATCAAACCAAAGATTTCTATCTCTTCCTGAAAGAGAGGGTATGTGCACCAGTCTACAGTTCCAAAGGACTGCCACAGACGTAGATGGTTTTATCCTCATCATTGAGAGAAATTCTACTGAAATGGCAACAGTGATTCAAAAACACTTCTCTCCCTTCTGGAAGAAATCCCTAAAGCACTATCGCACTCCTACATGCATTTCTCTACAAGTTAGCACTTGATTATATATATACTGTCTTTTAGTCCTTCATTGTTCCATGTATGAAAGTTTTCACCACCCCCAAAAGAGATGCTTTGATCGTCAAGGGATATATTTATATCCCCCACAGCACTAGACACAGTGCTGAACACACAAGAGGCACTTGCTATGCCTCACTTCTAACAGGACATGTATGTTTATGATAAAGCCCTGTGAATCACGAGTACTGAAATAACGATAGCCTGGCCCAACTTTTGAAGAGGACCTTCAGAGCCTGAGGCGTGCTAAAGCTATAGATTCTGATGCTATTTTTCTCCTAAATATAAAAGACAGGTGCTAGTTAGCTGCCTGCATACACATTCTAAACACAGATCAGTGAGTAAATGCCATGGAATGTCAAAAATGACTCCATTGTCATCATCTTAAAAATACAAAAACTTACTAAGGCCATTTTTTTGACATCTTTCTATGGCAAAGATCTTAGGCAGAATTCTCTTAGCTGCTGAACAATGTGATGACTTGGGCACTGTTTGAATCATTTGTAACTTTAAATAATGTAGTTCAGAAGATGTCATTTTTGTTGCTTTTCAGAAAAAGGAAAGTTGTAGGGAGCATTTTTTTCCCCACACTTTCCAGAAACCACAAAAGCATTTGACATTATTAGCTGGTAATTACTAACTAAATGTGTTTGTTGCTCGGAAAAGTTCACCAGTGTGCTAAGATGTGGTTGGTTCTATCATAGTCATATTGCACGGTGTCTTTTCTCTCATCACTGAAGACTGAGGTGAGGTTATGAAACTTTGATATTTTCCATCTTCTGTGCAGGAGGATACAATTGGCTGCCTGGAAGCTAATGACAGAGACTTTTCAGATACACATACAGGACACCCAGGTATTGTGGGCTACACAGGTAGTCATCAGGGACTTGGCTATAGGTGACTACGCTCATGAGAGCATGCAAATGATTGTGGGCAGCCCTGTAGGAACTTAGACACAGAAACTAAGAACACACCTAAAGACTATCCCCATAACTGGAGAACTTCGCATTGAGTTTGCAATTTTCCATCAAGAAACAGAACTAAAACTATCACTCATCATTTTGTTCCCTAACCTGCAACTCAGGCTGATGAGACAGCATGGCTTTATGGGGAGCCAATGACGTGGGGGCAACTATGGCCTCAACTCCAGACCAAACTAAAATTCTGCACAGCAGTAATGCTTTGGCCTCTCTATAACTTGGAGCAACCACAGCTTCCCTATAGTCTAGTCTCTAAGCAGTTTCATCAGTGTTGCTTAGGGAATTCAAGGAAGTCAGCTGCTGACCAGAATGTTTCTATCCATCCAATTTAAGAAAAACAGAAGAGGTCCTCCAGAAGAGTATACCTAATTAACATGTTATAGTAAAGTGAAGGTGGAAGAAATTCTTTCAGGACTTTCTTTAAAAGAGTGAGCCACAGTGATGGTTGCACAGAAAACCTGGTGCTTTTGAGCAAAGACTTTTGCTGCTAGGAAGCAGCTGAAAGCAGTGAGGTGCTTAACTCCAGGCACTGATCAAAGTACTAACTGTTCTTAGGAGGGGAAGAACTTTGGTCAGTTCCACATTCGCTTTTTTTTGTTTTGTTTTTTAGCCACAACTACGTGCTGATGTAATTCAGCCATCATTTTTGTTTTTTTAAAATGAAAGTTATAACCTGTGCCCCCACATTTTATTTCCATTTTCTGGGACATCGTACTGACTGTGGGATAGCCACTGAGATTGCTTCACATCTTCAGCAGATGCACTCCTTGAAGCAGCTACTTGAAGATATGTTTTCTGAAGAAAACAGGCTACAGGTGTTGATTAAACCTATTTACATTGCATTCATATGTCAGCTGCTCAATGCAAAGTGTAATTAGGTCATGGTCAAAAAGCTTACAACATCTAATTAGTGCTCAGGCTAGTCATTCAAACGTTGTTGACTGGCTGAAGTCTGTTAACAGTACTCTGTAGTTAATCAGTAGCATGCTAGTTGACCTAATGTAAGTTTTTGAAGGGCTTTTAAAAACAATACCTTAACCTTGCCAGGAAGAGAAGTAAAATTCTTCAAGTTGTAGGGTATTTGTTTCTACTCCAGCCTGGCAGGCAAGGCGAAAGCCTGAGAGTAGAGATGTATAAGGCATCTTGATATGTAAGGCACTTAGTATTTTATTAAAAGCATAAAAGTGAAATTGTGCTAAATATGTACAGAGGTCAGTATGTTTGATAGGTGAGACAATTCACATCTTATGTACATCAGAATTCATTTCAGGAGGGAACCTCTTGAATGTGATAACATGGCAAAGCCTTTAATCACATCTCAGCCCTTAGCATCAGAAAGCTTATACTGTAAATAAACTTTATTGTTAATATTATATGTGAGGAAAACGTTCATGTATAGCACTCATTGCTTCGGACAGAAAATTCCATCAGTATGTTCTAGTCATGCAATGGATTTCAGAAACACTGCAGAGGATGCTCAATCTTAACTCCAGAGGATCCACAGAAGAAAAAAAATGTGGGGAAATGCTAAAGAAATAGCAAAATGTGCAACTTCTTACAAAATTGTCCATGTTGGGTACTTCTATATATTTTGTATGACCATAGTGTCAGTGTCTGTGTTTTGTACTCTAGCCCCTGTTATTCTGTATATTCCCTATAAACAGATAATGTATTTTAATCTATTTGACAGAACACATCACTCCAAAAGAGCAAAGTTTTGGGGATGAGTAGTGAAGCTGATGTCATTATAGACAAAAAATCAACTCACAGAACTGAGGAGGGGGAATATGAAAAAAAACAAAAACTTCTTAGTTTGGTGCTTATCAGATGAAGAGAGATTAGTAGATTCGTTAGGAGAGAAAGGTTAGTAGGGCACTAAAATGGAACAATTCCTATTAACATCTGCAGCTTCCTGAGAGCTCTCTTCAAAGCCAGGAAGTTGACCTCTTAGCGACCAGATCACCATTTCAAGCAAAGAGCTTGTCAGGGAGTAAGAGGGCCTTCTCCATGAATTGAGACTAGGGAGTGTCCTGGAAAGGTCAGTGGGACCACTGAACTTGGCTGGATTCTGTAAACCATAGTTCTGCTTCCCCCACTAACTCTTAAGTCTTTATAAAGCTTCGAAAATTTGAGATAGGAAAACCCCAAGACGGGCTCTTTCCTGGAAAATAGGCACAGGTGCATCCAATTCCGGCTTTGCAGGACGTTTTCTGATAAGCATTTTGCAGTATTCCTTTTGGCTGTGCTCCTGTGTACCGTCCCTGCTCCCACTTCCCCTGGTTTATGATTGTTAGGAGAGGGCTTGTGAAGATTCATAGCTGTTGAAGACTTTTTTTTTCTGATTTTGGGGGAAAAAATTAGAGGTGGAGTTCCTCCCCTTTTATTCCAGAGTTTGGTCATGCTGATGTTCTCATCTGAAGCTGGCTAACCAGGTTCACCCAGGTTAATCCTCATGGAAGAGTTATTGTGTGCACTGGAGTAACAGTATTAAAATGTAATCAGTGACAGCAGTACTTGCCAGAGGAGCCATATTTTTGTGCATCCCACTCGAAGCAACTTCTCAAAAATTGTTATGAGGGGGCTGGTGTTCCCCATCTGGAAAACCAAATGAAGGTCTGCAGATTGCAAAGTGAAATGTAGAATCAGAGAAAAGGGGATTAAGTGGCATATAAATAGATCTTTTTGCAGAAGTTAGATTTTTATTTCAACTACTACTGGAGAATTTAATAAGCATTATTTGAAAAGTTCTCCTAACCATAGATTTAGGTTTCATTTGTAGAATGGACACTACTGTACATTTAAAAGCAGTTACTTATTTTGCTATTCAAATTAATTTTTTATATCTAAAAATGAAATTATTTGTTTTACTTTTCAAAGCTTTGTAAAACAAACAAAGTTATAGGGAGGTAAGCCATCTCCAATTCTGCAGGTCAAACAAAAGTTTGGGAAGTGCTTGGACATCTGATAATACAGAATGTCTTAACATGAGAACTTAGTTTCATATTGTCTGGTTATATTTAATAGTGGATACCACAAACCTCATCTTATCCTAAAACAGTGGAAGGTAACGAGTGGGCATTAAATTCTAAACAATGGTCTGTTGTTATTTTCACAGATTTTTTAAAAATCTTTTGAGATTCTCACCTCCATTTACTAAAGAATCATGACTCACTTTACACAGTAATCAGCAAAGTTAACTGGTCTTAAAATTATATTTTCTCCTTTCAAGCATTCATTAAGCAGTGAGGCTGAGTGTTTTAAGATATAAAGAGATCTGTGAATGATTGAAAAGCGGTGTTAAAATTTGGATTTCATTCCAGTTTCAGATTTGGGTTTTAAGTTCTTTGGTCCAGTGAAAGGACTAGGCAGCTGCAGTCTCCCCAAATCACTATCACTGAGTCTCCGGACAAGGTCAGATGTGTTAAAGGAGACTGGGGAGAAGGCTTGTAACAGCCCCGAACTCCCAGCTGAGGAAGAGGAATGAGGCCTGGTGGAGGGAGAGAAGAGGAACGTGGGGGATGCACTGAGGTCAGTGCTCGCTCGCCTTCCCCTCACCTCAACTACTTAACAGTTTAAGGTTTTGGTCTGTCCTGGCAAGGGCAAAGCATGTTAGACTTAGAGATGCTTCTGAGAGTAGCAGGGGTTCTTACAGGAAAACAAATATATGAGGGGGGTGGGGTGGGAGGAAGCAGATTATAAGTATGCAGGAAAATCTTGTTCTAAAAATATGAGTTTAAGGGTAAAGTGGGGGATATGCAAGTAAAATCAATTATTTTAAAATGAACATGTATTTTTATTAACTTTTAGTTAAATATAGATTATTACAACCAGCTCAACATGATAAGCCTAAATCTATAGAGCTAACTCAGGCATTGTCTTGTTTATCTGTAGACTGGATAAAACAAACCTTTCCTGTTTTGTCAGTTTCTGGTTTCTTAGTTTAGAATAAATTAGACCAAAAGAAGAAACTTACTTGTCTTCTTATACTTACAGAATTAAGTTATTGCTGTTAAAACCTGGCATTTTCATTTCACTAGTCTTTGAAGAGTCCAGATGCTTGGTAGATGTTCAATAAATGATTTTTAAATCGAATTTGTTCATTTAAAATCCTCATTAACATTTCTGGAAAAGCTTTCTCAGTAAATAATGGAATCTTAGAAGAGAAGTGGTTTTGTTTTTTAAGCTAGGGAACTCCATTGAAAAAATTTGAAAACTTGATTGAAGACTGAAGTTTCAATCACGAGAAATGGTAGCAAAATAAAATTTATACACATTGTAGTCAATGGTCCATTTTAGGAGGCCGGTGATATCTGACAAATTAAGAGTAGTGAGGTTGGGGAAGGAAATTGTGGGGATTTGTAATACTCTCTATGTTGTTTCTCTTCTTGGGTCATGGTAAAACAATAAATTATCTCTAGATGACAATATTTGTGGTATTTGGTTTTTGTCATCCTTGGTTGCATAAATGCACATGTTTGGGGTAAAGAAAATTACCCGAGTAATTTCAAAGTTAAAAGCTGGAACTGCAACCCACAGACAGTCCACACAAATGAACATGTTTTAGGTAATTTCCCGAGAGCTCCCTATGAAACACCACCTTAGAGTCCTAGGTAGCTTCTTGGAGAGAGGAACAAGAAAAGCCATAAAGTAGCTTTTTAATAACTCCAAAACATAATTTTCTCAGAAGATGGAACCATTAAAATAACCTTTGACCAGTTTTACTTAGAAAACTGAACATCCTAATGGTAGGCACCACGTGTAATCTGATAGTTTATACCTTTAAACTGTGACCTCTAACCTAATAACCTTGCTTTTGTTACTGTATAATATTGAAACAAACTCAATGTGATTTTTTTTAAAGTAAATAAATAAAAAGTGGCACGTGAAAAAACATTTTTACATAGGCATCTTCACAACCAAATCCTGGTTCAGGGGAACTCCATCCTATCCTGCCTGTCTTAGCCTGCGGCCCCCAGAGAACAGAACCTGAGGCAAGGGCTTGTGTGCAGGTGATGTGCTTTAGGAAATGACTCCAGAGAACAGCAGTGAGAGATAGTGTAGACAGACACGGGAAGAACTCCAGTATATTGAACGTGCTCACTGCTGTGGACGAGGGACCCCTGTGAGAAATTCTAGTCTCAATGAAGGTTTGGGTGTGGAGAGGCCCAGAGCCCCCTCGTGCCCCCCAGTGCAGACCAGAGCCCCAGCAGTCAGAAGGGTCAGGGATTTCCTACCAAGGGCTCTCAACTTTTCACTCCGTCCAGTCCAGTTCAAACCCTCATGATTTCCTCCATTCCTGTCTGGCCGACAGCCACCTTCATTCTTCCCCTCGCCCCTGCTAGACAATCCTATTCGCTGCTGTAGTCTTGGCTCCGCAGTCTGGATTTCTCCTGCTCCCCGAACTCCCGTGCCTACCACAGCCTCACCTCACCCTTTGTCAGCTGATACTCCTCAATATTCCTTCCCAAGGGCCTCAGGTCACCCAGGTGCGCTAGTTCTGGCCCTTCCTGCTCCCTGGAGCCCCTCGCCTTGCTGCCTGCCGAGCACTATAGCCTCACTCGGGCCTCCAGGCTCCTCCTCACCCCTCACCTGTTTTACGTTTAAATGAGCATAAACCTGTAGCTTTAAGGAGCAAAAGCAAAGTTTAAAAATCTTTTTTTGACCTTGTCCCTTTCTTTAAGCTACTAAGTTCTTCTACTGAGTGGGCCATAACGACTGTTTGCATCTCTTCACTGCTGATATCCACCCTCTTCAAGCCCCTGTAACTGAGCTCTTAACCACTTACATGGCTCAGTCAAAGGTCACCGGTGTTCTTGACAGTATTTTCTCTATCTTAATTCTCCTTACTGTTCTATAACATTTGACCATTTCCTTGAAACCCTGTCAGTTCGCATTACACTGTCCTCAATTGCTCTCTTCCCTTTCACTCATGCATAATAACTATGAATTTTCTCTAATTCACATACCAACTTTGCAAAGACAGTTGCCCCATTTTACAGATGTTGAAACGGCTAAAAAGTGGCTTGCCCATTAAGTGGCATAGCTAGATTTCAAAACCAGGTGTGTCTAACACCAACAACCAGGTTCTTTCCACTACTGCATTGTCCCTTGTCCTCCCTAATGAGCTCAATTATTCTCCCACCTTCATACATCACCTAAGTGATTCCACAGCTACGTTTATGAAGCAGCATGCATAACGGCTGCACACATGGCACCAGAGCCAGTTTACCTAGGATCAAATCCTTTATCTACCACTTACTTGCTCTTAGTTTCTCCAGCTGCAAAATGGGCATAGAGTTATAAGCATTAAATAAGCCATTACATGTAAAACACCTACAACAATGCCCAACATAAGTGTTCTAAAAATATTAGCTGCTATTATTTTCTCCATAGGCCTCTAGCTCTTCTTTCTAGAATAGTCAAAAAAATAAAATATAAATAAATAAAATGATTCTGAGTATTCATTTACCCCTCAGTAAAGTTTCCCTTTTTAAAGTGAAACATGCCTCAGTGTCCTCCATCCCATGAGTCCCTAAAACACGTATCATTGAAATCAAGTCTCTGTGAAAACTGAGGACCCAGACTCGGGGCCCATTTTAGTCCCAGATGTTATGGACAGAATTCTGTATGGTCTCGGTGATCCTCAGATCTCCCCAATCCTTGCTCAGTTCTTCCCACTGCCCCAAACCATCAGCTGATGCAATTCCTTTTGCAATCCCAAATCCTCTGAGGAAACAAATTTCCCCTAGGATAATGGAAATTGCTACACAGGTTTAAGAGGACTTTCTTGTCCCAAACTACCCATGTCTGTTTGCCTGTAGTTATCACCACTGCCTCTAAGTCTCAGACGTCATCCACTCCAGATTCTTGAACAAAGGAGGAGCTAGTCTGACTCTACCCTACCTGGGTTATCTATCACCATGGGACCTGCATTTGGTTCTGGATTCCACATTTTAAAAGACAGATTAACTGCAGGATGGTAAAAGCAAAACCTCCTCATGTGTGCAACCAAAGGTTTTGCTTGGTGAGGAGAAAACTCACTGGGAACTTGGTCTCTGTCCTCAAACATACTCATATAAAGGCCTGTCATCTTAGAAGAGGATTTCAGTTTGTACTGCTTGACTCCAAGAAATAGAACTAAGTTCCTTTCAATGAACATTACTGTCAGGCCATGTGCTTGGTGTTAGGAATAAAGACAGGAAAGAAATATAGCAATGAGTAAGGCAGATAAGCAAAGCCAGCTCTGCCTAGCTGCTACTAGGACTTTGGGCAAATTAGAAAAAGGTGCCCCTTCCTCAGGAAACCTGACTGACTTCTCTTGGCAAGTTGTGATAACTATACAACTCCCTGAGAAGATGAATGATGGCCCCTGAGGTTGTGCAGAGCACAAGTTGCACAACCAAGAGAGGCTCTAGTGGAAGCCACTGTGAGAAGAACCTTGCAGAGCCAGCCAGAGCAGGTGGCTGCATCAGTTCAGGCATTCAGGTATGTCTGGGGACACTCAGGGGTCCTGGGCAGGAAAGGGTCTTCCATGGTGGAAGGCTGGGCCAGATAGCCTTTGTGATTTGCTTTTACTCTGAGATTATGCACATTTTTCTGGGTTCTTCTATTAATACAAATAAGGTGGAACAAGCCAGCAACATGCTCATGTGAAAGTCTTTGCAGGAAACTTTACGCTCTCTTATTAAAGAGAAAGCAGATGGCCCTCTCCAGAGCGGACAGAATGGAGAAAAAGATCCGTGATAGGTGGAGTCACATCTCTTCTGGGGTGAGGTGGGGGGGGGGGGGCTGAAATTAAAACAAAGAGGAGATCAGAAATAATACTGGAGCAAGTTTGAAGATTAAAAATCCCTTACTACTGGTATAGCTAGTTATAAAACTAGTTCACTGTCACATGATCCAAAAGCTTTTAAGTTGTTAGAACTGGTATTATTACACCCATTTTCCAGATAATCAAGTTGCATATCCAAATTTCCCAAGGTTCATTAGCAGCAGAGCTCCAGCTCTACGCCAGGATTATCTAACTACACCACTCTACTCCTATTCTCTTTGCCTTTCCTTTTCTTTAGAAAATGTCTTTGCAGTTTCCCAACATGGTGTACATATAGACTCCTTCCAGGAATGAAAAAGGGAAGTTTTCAGAACTGTAATAGACAAGAAGCTTGCCAGCCTTGTTCTAAGTGAAATTAAGGTTTTCATCACCCTCTACTGGCCAAGCACAGTGATGGCAGAAAAAAATAGGTGATGGCAAGGAGCAAGGAAGATTCAGGAAGCAACCATTTTAGAGAGAACCATGACTACCCTGCTGGAAAAGGAGGGAGGAAGCCAAGGCCTACAGTACCACTGGGAGCGTTTCCCCTTCCGATTTCTGCTACAAATGGGAGAGGAATATTTTTTCAAGCCAAATAATATTTCAAGACGAGAGAAAATGTAGAGAAAGTAAAGCAGGAGAGTATGGAGGTCATTTAAATAAGGAACTGTGAACCCTCAGAGTACCCAAGATCAATTCAGACATTTTACATTCCAGGATTCAGAAGCAACTTTCAGACATGATCATGGAACTGCTGTAGGTGATCTTTGGGACAATCATATGTAATAGTTTCAAATATTTTACAGGGATGATAAGAGCATTTTGTGAGAGAAACGGATCAATCAAGACTAGGGTCAGTGACTTGAAATTATAGGAAAGCAGATTTTTGCTTTAAAGAACTTTTACAAATTAGAATTCTCAAAAAGGAGGAAACTGTCCTCTAAAGTAGTAAGCTCCCTGCCATGGAAATGGTAAAAAGCAGAGGGCTTCTCATAGAAAGGGTGTTTGTACCACTAGAGGTTAGACTGTGATTCCTAAGATGACATATTCAGTCACCACCTATTGGTCTCATCTCTACTATTGAGCATATTTGTAATTATTTGTTTACATGTTGTTGATGAAAGAAACATCCAAACCTACAGAGAGTTTTTATAAGAGTTTATGTGAGCCAAAACTGATGACAATTGCCGGGAAGCAAGATCTCAAATGCTAGTTTGAGTTTCTTTTATATATTTGGAATTGAGGACTTTTTTTTTTTTTAAGATTTTTATTGGGGAATTGGGGGAGGGGGACAGCGCTGGGGGATCGGGGGAAAGGGAACAGAAAAGTTGCTGTCCTTTTGTTCTTCAGTTGTGGAGGACGTTGCTTCACTGGCCCATGTTGGTATTATCATTGCGCTCTTCCCGGGTGAGGCAGATTGGTCACCGGCCTCCGGATGGCCGCTCACAGCGGCTCTTGGCAGCTCACACTGGCTGGCTGCCAGCTGCTTCTGCTCACGCTAGCTGCCGGCCACACACGGTAGCTTATGGCAACCCACTGCAGCAGGGGCTGCAGCCTACGCCGTCGCCAGCGACTCTTGGCAGTCCAGCTCCAGGTCGAGCTGTTGTTCACCATCTTAGCTATAGAGGGCAGTGTCACTGGGCCTCATGTGGGATCCAAACTGGGCCCCTGCTGCTCAGAGCTGGCGTCCCAAGCCAACTCTTAACCAACGCGCCACTCAGCCGGCCCAAAGGAGGACATTTAAGGAAGGTTACATGAAAGTGGGAATAAGTAAGGCAGGGACTGGATTACAGGACAGTTAAGATTTTGTGCTCTCTTGGGCCAGCCGAATGGTGTGTTGGTTAGGAGCTGGTTTGGAATGCCAGCTCTGAGCAGCAGGGCCCCAGTACAGATCCCACATGAGAGCCAGTGACGCTGCGCCCTCTACAGCTAAGATGGTGAACAACAGCTCGACCTGGAGCTGGGCTGCCATGAGTTGCCAGCTCCGGCGCTGCAGCGGGGCTGGCCAGCAGCAGGCATGAGCTTTCATGAACTGCCAGCAAGCCGCCGTGAGTGGTTGTCCAATGGCCGGTGAGCGACTGCCTCACCCAGGAAGAGCGCAATGATAATACCAACATGTCCTCCACAACTAGACTGAAGAATAAAAGGACAGCAACTTGTCTGTTTCCCTTCCCCGATTCCCCAATAAAATCTTTAAAAAAAAAAAAAGATTATGTGCTCTCTTTAGGGTGGTTACACCTTCAAGGGATATTGCTTTGGGCATTTCAAAGGTTTATTAACCTAGATGCCCAAGAACAATGGACAGGGCTTGCTTAGAAACCTTTTCACTGAAGAAGTTACATGCCTGGGACATGACTACCCAACATGGCCTGCCCAGTTAAGAATTTATGATCAGACCATCCTGTGTGGTTACTTTCTGTAGAACCCTTTTTCTGTCCACAATGTCTGCCAAGAACTGTATATATATATATTTTTTTTAATTTTTTTTTCCTTTCCTTATGTCTTAACACAATGCCTGACACTTGTAGGTTCTCGGTGTTTGTTGAATTAATTCATTGGAAGAGTATGAGGTTCTTGGAAATCAAAACCGTTCTGAAGAGGAAATGCAGGTGACACATCACAGTGAGCCACCAACACATTGGCCAACTTTTCCTTTGTTCTCTTGTGGTTTTGTCACATGGTCATGGTTATATTACTGGAAGAAAATAATGGATCATCCTAAATTAACTTGTTTTAATAAAGTATGATTTGGATAGACAGCATTTGATCTTTCTAATGATATCTTTTAAAACCTGTTGAGATACAATAAGGACACAGGATTGAATTAGATAATCTAGGTTCTACCCTCAGCTCTGCTACTAATTAGCTAACTAATGTGCCTTGGATTTTACTTCTTCAGGCATTTATTTCTTCATCTGAAAACAAGAGCTTAACCAGATTGTCCTTAAGGTTTCTTTTGGTGATCATATTTTGCAACTCACAGCCCCTTTGCTTTAGAAAGAACAAAGAGTTCGAAATGGGAAAAGTTCCTTCAAGCCCCAGCATCACAATTCACTGGTTGGATGACTAGGCAGAGATCCTTTGACTAAGAGGCTGGATAGAGCACTACCAAAGCATCAACACATATATGGCTAGTGGAACGGATTTAGGTTTCCTGGTTTTCCACTCAGACCTAGTGATTCTGTTCCCTCTAACCATTTCCTCTTTCTCCAGTCTAACACAGACGCCATATAGTGCTTAAAAGCATAGGTTTTGGAGAAAGAGAGCCAAGTTTCAGTCTTGACTGTCCCACATATCAGTTGTATGACACTGGAAAAGTTACTTACCTTTTTTAGCCCAAGTTTCCTGGTCTATAAAACAGAGATTTTACTATTTCACAGAAGTAAGTATTCTCAGTGTTATATTTCAGAGAATTGATATAATGGCAACAAATGTGGGTAGTAGATTGTTTCTAAAGATAGTCGCATCATCTCCCATCCCACAAACTCCTTTTCATTGTGACCCAGAGATAGAGTCTGTTTTTCTTCCCCCTCGAATCTGGCCCAGTGACCTGTTTTAACAATAGAATGTGGTGGAAATGATGCTATATAACTTCCAAGGCTGGGCCCTTAATCATTTACAAGTTCCACCTTGACCTCTTAAAATGCTCCTCTTAGGGAACCACGTCACGCCTGAGAAAGCCCAAGTCACCATGTGGACAGACCCACATAGGGAGCACATGGAGGCCCCAGGCCAACTTCCCAGCTGTGGGCCAGCACTAACTGCCAGCCATCCCATCTCCTCAGTTGATACTACAGGAAACAGAACTAACTCAGCCAATTCAGATTTGTGAGATCGTGTGAGAAATGATAATTGTGGTGTTAAGGCACTAAGTTTGGGGGTAGTTTTTTATGCAGAAATAAACAACTGAAACCAAGTGTTTAACACAGTACCTGGCCCATAGTTAAGTATTCAAAGGAGGTGTGTGTGGAGGGAGTGGTAATGAAGGAGTGTTGTAAAAAGGTTTCCTCCAATTAAGGGGAAATCTAACAGGAGTCTGGGGCAAGCTGTAGGAAGATGTTAAAGGGCATCTAATAAAAAAAATTCATTCTGCAAAAATCCTGTCTTCCTCATCCCCAGGGCTCTCCCACTTCTTCAAAACAGCTCAACACAACGCGCAGGAAGTGGCCCCTTTTGAGCAACTCTTTCTTGAGAAAGCCTTCCTTGCTTTGTATTTTTTTTATCAGTTCCATTCATTGGTTTTCTGGGGTCCCATAAGACAAACCTTTTTTCCAAACGACAATACTTAACATATTTGAAAACTAAGACTGTTTTGTCCCTCATTCTACCCCCTTGTCTTTTCCTACCTAAATTAAGAAAAAATTTTCCAGATTCTCTTAGGTCGGATGGCATGGTGTTCAGACCTCACATCTCCCGATTTGCTCGTCTCGGACCTTTCTTAGTAAAATACAAAATGGGGGTAGAGGGACAAGATCCTTGCTCGTTCGCGTTGGGGGCGATTCCGCTCGCCCAGGAGCTGCCTCAATCTCCTACGTACCCGGGACACCGAGACGCCAAGACCTCCCCAATTCCTAGAGGGACCGTTGCGGCCGCGCACAACGGCCCGCAGGCGGGGCTATGACGCACCTCCGGCTGCGCCGGCCACGGTGCGCGTCGAGGTGTCCCAGCTCCCCGAGCGCCTCTGACTCACGGTGAGCTCCTGGTCCCCGGTTAGCTTGGCTGGCGGAAGAGGAAGCCTTGTCCGAGAGGATTCAGGGAGGGAGGAGTGGGTGTACCGCCTGGGGCCTCCGGGGACCTCTTCGAGACCGGTCCTGGAAGGGCTGTGGGGAGGAGCCCGGTATTTCTGCTCTGCCCCGGATGGTGGAGGCGCGTATTCCCTGGAAAGCCTTTTCCTCCCCCCAGGGCTTTAACAAATGAAACTTTGTTTCGCGGTTCAGAGCGCGCGCGCGCGTGTGTGTGTGTTTGCGCGTATGTGTACGCGCGCGCGCGTTCCCTTAGCCAACGTTCACTTAGCCAAACCGTCAGTGTGACCGGGGCTGCCGTCTCTTTTCCCCTGGCTCTCAACTGGTGGTCCGAAATCCGGGCTAATTGATGGAACATGCCCGAGGGGGTTGGGGACCTCCTGTGAGAAACCGAACCTCTCAAGAAGTCCTGGGTTGTGTCTGATCCAAGGGAGGGAATAGTCCCTTAGGGCTTTATTCAGGTTAGAAAGCATGCAAATAACAGGGATCTGCTCAAGTTTGGAAACAGTATTAAAAGGACCATTTGTTAATAGAGTTTGTCAAGAGAAAGGTGATCTGGTGGGTGAGGTACTTGGAAACCTGGTTTATATAAGGAACAGTTGGAACAACAGTGGAAAAGAAAAGAGTTAAGAGGCAAGGCGATTGTTTTTCAGGAACTGGAAGGCTACTACGGGCAAAGTAAGCATTGGTCTAGGGCTAAAGTAGGATCCGTGAAAGTAGAAGATTGAAAAAGTATGCACAATTTGGTTCGCTATAAAGAAAGCCTTGTTAATGGTTAGAACTGTCTTAACAAAATTCTGTGCCTCAAGAATTATCAAATTTGTCTGCCTAAGTGTTTTCAGGTACAGACTGAGTGTGATAAAGGCATTCTAGCATTAGTTGATAAGTCCCATTAAATTGTTAGAATCTATGATAATTTGATATATTTATGCCTCTTCTTTTTTTTATTTATGGGTTTGGGGCACTTTTTATAAGAGCGTATTCACTTTGGGAAATTGGCATAAATGAGGGGGGAAAAAAAACTTGGAACAGAACAGAAGCCTTCTGCTTATAGTAGATCATGAACTTTTGTTTGATGGAGCTGTTTAGCTTAACATTCTAGATAGCCTAAAAGAGTAGTTCACTGTGGTTGAAGACAGTGTGAGTTAGTAAAGAAACTCCCGTTTTCTATCCACATGCCTTTTTATTTTATGTGCACTTTATAACAAAAATTCAGACCTGGAGGGCATCCCTAAATCAACCTTTAGACAAACTCAACATGATCAAATGTGAAATTACTGGCTTTACTCCGGGGGGCAGGGATCAAGGCAAAGCATTATTTGATTTGTTTTTTAATCTTTGCCAGTCTGAGAGGTGGAAGCATTTCTTTTATTATAACTAACGTTAAGCATCTTTTCATGGGTTAATTACTGAGCTGAGACTTGAAAGGTAAATAGAAGCCTGCCATGAGAAATGGGCCTTGATTGAGCATTGGAATGAGGAGAGGAGTGATGACTGAATGGGGAGGCAGAGACCAGATTGGGATTTGTTTGCCATGCAAAGAAGTTAAATGATTTTAAACAGCTGGGTGATATGAGCAGATTTGTGTTTTAAACCTCTGCAGGTAGACTTTGAGGCTGTGGAGATAGAATTGCTAAACTGGAAAATGGCCTATATGATTTCAAAGGAGGAAGGGATATTGTTGTAATGTTGCCAACTAGTTCAGAGCTAAAAATATTTGGTAAAAATAGGCTTTGTGTTATGTTTGAAATAGATCTGCTATAAAACTATTTCATTAGGCCAATATTCTGTCAATTATTGGAAGAGAGTCAGAAATTAACTATTGTTGCTCCTAAGACATGTGCCTTTAAAAAAAAATCATAAAAAAAAAGTCTTCACAACTTTTTAAACATCTAACTCTGAGAATGGTCTGCTTCAACACAGTTAGTGTTTGTTGAAGAAAACAGTTATATTTCTCTTTACCACCCTCCGTAAGAGAACAGGGTTTGCTTGTTTACCCCAACACCACTTATTTTTTATTTAAACATTTTAGAATAGCTTTAGATTTATAGAAAAGCTCAAAAATGATGCAGTGAGTTTCTCTCTGCCCCTCACCCGTTTTCCCTTATTGTTAACATCATACATTACTGTGTACATTTGTCACAACTAAGGAACCAACACTGGTACATTACGATTAACTTAACTAAGCTCCACAGTTTATTTGAATTTTACTAGTTTTTCCCTAATGTCCTTTTTCTGTTCCAGGATCCCATCTATGATACCACATTACATTAGTCTTCATGTCCACTTACTGTCCTGTGGTTAGTGACAGTTGCTCAGTCTTTCCTTGTTTTTGATGACCTTGACAGTTTTGAGCACTCCTGGTCAGTTATTTTGTAGAATGTCCCTCAATCTGGGTTTGTCTGATGTTTTTCTCATGGTTAGACTGGGGACATGGGTTTTGAGGAGGAAGACCACAGAGGTGAAATGCTCTTCTCATCATATATCAGGGCACATGACTTATTGATGATGTTAATTTTTTTTTAATTTTTTTTTATTGAAGTAGACAACATTTCAGGTATACAACAATTTTAGGTATACAACCTAATTCAGTATCTGTACACCGTTGCATGCTCCCCACAAAAAGCCTAGTTTCCATCTATTACCATATATTTGACCCCCTTTATCAATTTTGCCCTTCCCCCTCTGGTAACTACCATTCTGATGTCTCTATCTCTGAGTTTTTTGCTTGTTCATTTGTTACATTTTTGTTTTATATTCCACATATGCGTGAAATTGTATGGTCCTTGTCCTTTTCCATCTGACTTATTTCACTTAGCACAATACCCTCAAGAGCCATCCATGTTGTTGCGGATGGCAATATTTCATCTTTTTCATGACAGAGTAATATTCCTGTGTGTGTGTATACCATGATGATGTTAATCTTGATCAGCTGGCTGAGTTAGTCGGGTTTCTCTACTACAGTTGCTTTCCCCCAACCCCTTTCTGTATTCTCTTTGGAAGCAAGTTATCAAGTGCAGCCTACACTCAAGGAGTGGGGAATTAAGCTCCATGCTTAGTATCTACATAAATTATTTGGAATAATTTTGTATGGGAGATTTGTCTTTTCTCCCCTATTTATTTATTCAATCACCTTTTTTTAACATTAGTATGGGCTTACAGATATTTATTTTACATTTCAGATTATAATCCAGTACTGCGTTATTTATTTCATTACTCAAATTGTTTTAGCTGTGGCCATTGGGAGCTTTTATATTTTAGCTTCTATGTCCCTTTGACATGCCTCACTGGGTTTTTTTTTTTCCAGGATGGGGGAAGGGGGTACTTTATTTGACACTTTCTGGCATTACAAGATGCTCCAGCCTCATCTTGTATATTCCCCAAGCTAGAATCAGCGATTTTTCCATTTCTAGTTCCTTTTCTTGGAGAATGACATTTAGAAACCAAGATCTGGGCACTGGGTATGCTGACTGCTACCAGGATGTCTCAGCAGACAGAGCTAGGAAATAAATATCTGTATATTTATCCCTGTACACACACTTATCTAATTCTCTGTCAACCTCTTGTTATTTTATGCTAAACACTAGTTCATCCTGCCACTTTTTTTTTTTAAGATTTTACTGGGGAAGGGGAACAGCCAAGTTGTTCTTCAGTCTTAGTTGTGGAAGGCGCAGCTAGCTCAGCTCCAAGTCCAGTCGCCATGGCAACCCAAAGGCAGCTCAGCTTGGGCGCAGCTCACTGGCCCATGCTGGAATCGAACCGGCGACACTGCTGCTCAGAGCTCATGCTCTTAACCAACTGAGCCACTCGGCTGGCCCCATATTTTTAACTTAAATTTGTATTGATAATATTTTTTAAAGCCCGATTTCACAGTTTCTGCTCCTTAAGGGTAGCCCAAAGATCCATGTATCACATTCATTCTTTCCACAAATATTTGCGCACCTGAAAAGTACTAGGCATATTCTAGGTGTTTGGAATATAGCAGCGAACAATACAAAGTCCCTGCCCTCAAGAGCTGGTAGTCAAGGAAGGAGACAGTTTTAACAAAGGTAAAATACAGTATTTGTATGCTGGTAGATAATGTGGAGGAAAAGAGTAGGAGGATAAGGAGTTCTGGGGTGACGGAGGGTAGCATGCAGTTTAAAACAGGGTGGTCAGGGGTGCCTGAGTACAGACCTAGAGGAGGTGAGGGAGCCAGCTATATGTAATCTGCAAGAATGTTAGGCAGAGGGAGCAGCATGGACAAAGGCTCTGAGGTGGGAGTGTGCCTCACATGTCCAGGGAACAGTGTGGCGGAGGTAGAATGAACGAGAAAAGTACAAGATGAGATAAGAGGCAACAGGGACTGAGATCTTGTGGGGTCTTTTTGGCCATTGTGATGACTTTGGCATTTACTCTGTATGATACACCAAAGCCTTGAGAAATGTGAGCAGAGAAATGATGTGATCTAACTGGTATTTTAACAGGATCGCTCTGGCTGCTGTGTTGAGAATGGACAGAGAGGGCAAGGGTGGAACCAGTTAGGAGGCTATTGCAGTACTCCAGGCCAAGAGGTGATGGTCTGGGATGGCATTGAAGGTAGTGAGAAGTGGTTGAACTCTGGATCTGTAGGATGTAGAGCTAACAGGATTTGCTTATGAATTGTGTGTAAAATGTGAGAGAAGAGTCAAGGATGACCAGGGTTTTTGGTCTAAGAAAACAGAACAGTGGAGTTGCGGGTAACTGATGAGCAGCTTTGAGAGGAAAGATAGGAAGTGCAGTTTTGGACATCCTAAGCTTGAGATGGCTGTTGGACAGGCTAGTGGCAATGTCAAGTGGATAGTTGGTTGTTTGAGTCTGGGGTTCAAAGAAGTCCATGCTGGAGATATTTGGCAATTATGAGTATATAGATGGTAATTAAAGCCACATGACTGGATGAAATCTCCAAGGAGAATGAGTGCAGCAAGGAAGAAGGGGCCCAAGTGCCTAGCCCATCACTTGTTAGTGGTCTTGCTGAGACATGAATTTGAACTGTGGGCACTACAGAACTGGTGCACTGGAATATTCTAAGTCACTTCCCACGGTAGCAACACCTAGGGAAACTTTTCTTCTTTAGTTACAACTATGTACATGTTTTGCAGAGGCAATCGTGATGCAGTGGCACGTGTGAGATTGGGCTCGCCAGGTTCTGGGAACAGATCCACATGAATGTGATATAGTATACTCTTTATTTAATGCCACCTGTGCTATACACAACTCCTAGCATTCTGTTGAGTTTCCCAAGCTGGATCCCAGAAGCTGAGCAAACCCAAACAGTTTCCGATGTCTTTCCTGTTCTTGGTGTGCCCTCCTCCGGCTGGAGTGGGAAATTTTGTAACCAGTTACATGAAGTTATTCCAACACCTAGGTTTACTTTTAAGCATTTCAAGGAATGCTCCCAGCACTGCTACATCTGTTCTTTATAGTTATTTTAGCCTTTGGTGCTAGTGCCTTTTTTTAGGAGACAAGATGGCAGCGCGTCTTCCCTGGCTCAGTTTTCAAGTAACCCTGAACTTGGGAGCTCCAGTATCGTATTGTGTGTGTAGGGAGGAGACAGTGTTGATTCTGGTTCACTCTTTGAGGACCCAGGTTGGCATTTCATAGGATGCTTCAGAATTGGTACAGTGGAGGGGAGTCCCAAGTATTGACATTCCTAGAGTTCTGATAATTACTGAATTTTTCATAAAAGCAAGGTTACGTATTGAGGTTCTATTACTAAAATCCTTCATATTTTTAAAAATTACCAAAATTGGTCACAAAAATAAATGAAGGGGAACAGTCATATATAAAGTACATGTTTTTAATATGTATTCATTAAATGTGTGACTCTAAACACCTACTATAAAAGCTGTAACATAAATGTACATTTGTTGGGGAAGGGTTCTGCCTAGTTTGGAATTGCTTTTTTGTTTTCATGTTTGAAGGCTGTGAAATTTGGGCATTAGTAGTAAAACTATTTTGTCAAAAGACTGCTTATGATCTCTTTAAAGACTTTCTGATATAAAAGTAATAATGCCCATTATAGAATATTTGAAGAATTAAAAAAAAAAAGAAATGACCCTATTTAACCCAGAAATATCACTGTTTCATCCTTTTTCCTTCACTGTGATTATGTATATATTATGGGTGTGTGTGTGTGTTAAACTTGATATTTGAAGTGCTGTCAAGCCAGATCCATGGAGATTGATGCGCATGTTAGAAACTAGCATACTCAAGTTTTTAAATGCCTTAGACTTAGATCATCTGCAACTCCTATTCCCTCAATTTCAGCTTATATAAACCATTTATGTGTTCTTTCTATGGTCTCTACCTTTGCCATCAATATAATTTCATGTAATAAACACCCATGTAGATTTTTATCTGTTTGGCTCTTTATTGAGACTGCTGGAGTTTTCCTGCTCTAGATTATCCAAATCCAGGCTAGAAACTCCTATGTGACATGAAAGATGCTGCTTAAAGTTTGAAAGCATGCTCAGGAAGGCCAGTCACAGCATGTAAGAGTCACTAATTTATGTAGTTTCCTTTCAAAATATATTTAATGAGTGCCAATTATGATGGATAGATTCTACTGTCTGTTTACACGTTTGTTTTCCATCTCCCTCACTAACTGGGAAGCTCTGTGAGGGTAGCAGTGTGTCTGTCTTGTTCATCACTACAGCCCTAGTTCCAGGCCCATAACAGGTATTCAGTAAATGTTGAATGAGTGGACTTCACTTTTTTGGCAAATGAAAAAAACAGAAGTAATTATGTTTACTACAGATGTGTTTGGTAATCTAATGTATCAACTGACCAAACTATTTAGAATATTTAAAATTTAAAAGGAGAAAACACTTTTAAACATTATTTGTTTGTATCATGTGTTATAATTTAATTTTTCCCCTTAATTTCTCGTAATACATAGGTCATCCAAATAAATACTTCTCTAAGAATATAGGTTACTTTTAATCTAATCTCTCAGTCATTCCACTTGCCTTTCTATGAAAGCTAAAGATAAAGGGAATTTAAAATATTGAGTACATACTCCTTAAAATGGGTCAAGTGAAGCTCAAAATTACATCACTAATTATACTCAGTCATTTTCAAATTTACCAGTTAATTCCAGCCTTATAACTTGATTCCTGGTCATGCTGACTAACCCAGTCATTTGACTAGTAAATTTTGATGCTAAAAGTCTTAGGTTTAAGCAGACTACATTTGGCCAGCACATACATAGCCTGTTGAAGTTTCAAAGGAGTTCTAAGATTCTGAAACAATTTATGGAACAAAGTTAAATATATATTTTTTTTGTATTTGAAATTCAAATTTATTTTGATTCTAAACACAAAAAAAATGGGAATGGCAGTAACAAACAAGATTTCCCCACTGACTATTGTGATATGACTGTAGCAGTCATATTTGAAACTCAATAAGGAAACAACTGCGTTCCAAAACAGCTAATTATGCAGGTCCAAAAAATGAAGGTATTTTTTAACTGCCACTCACTCTGAAGCCCATTCATTTCCTTCAGTATCCCAAAGATTGGGCATATGTTCTGCTTAACAATGTAATAAAGTGGCAAACATGCCACTGACATCACAGGACAGTTGCCTATAAAACTAAACTTCTGACGCCGAGCCCCAGCTTCACTTTCACAGGTTGTCATCCTCATCTGGGAGAGCAATTATGTGAGCAACCTCTAGGTCATGCTCATACTGTGATGCCAAGGCAGGGTCCATGACAGCCTCTGGTGGGACAAGGGCAGGCATGGCAACAAACTTCAAGTTAGGGTCTCCGATGAGTTTTCTAGCAAGCCAGAGGAAGGGCTTTTCAAAGTTATAGTTACTTTTCTCAGAGATGTCGTAGTACTGAAGATTATTCTTCTGGTGGAAGACAATTGATTTTGCCTTCACTTTCCTGTCCTTAATATTCACTTTGTTGCCACACAGCACGATAGGGATGTTTTCACATACTCGTACCAGATCTCTATGCCAGTTAGGCACCTTCTTGTTACTCTCGAAGTTACATCAAACACTATAATGGCACACTGGGCTTGGATGTAACAGCCATCTCTCAGTCCACCAAATTTCTCCTGACCAGCTGTATCCCACACATTGAACTTAATAGGTCCTCGGTTGGTATGGAATAGAAGGGGATGGACCTCAACACCCAAGGTAGCTACACACCTCTTCTCAAATTCACCAGTCAGATGACGTTTCACAAATGTAGTTTTTCCAGTCCCACCATCACCAATCAATACAAGTTTGAACTGAACCTGGGGATCTCCATGGGCAGCCATCGTGATGTTACTTCCAGAAGCGTCTCTGGGCCCGTCTGAGAGCTAGAAAGATGGCGGAAGCGCACGCAATTCAAATGCCAGGGAGATGCAACGGCCATGGGGCGAGCACGAGGGAGGCCAGGGTAACGGCCAAGTTTAATTTTTAAACCATGTGGCAGTGTGATTTTTAGGAGAGTGGAGACAAATCAAAGTAGGATATCGTGAGCTAACTCCAGAGATTTTTTTTTTTTAAGATTTTTATTGGGGTATTGGGGGGAAGGGAACAGTGCTGGGGAATTGGGGGAAGGGGAACAGACAAGTTGCTGTCGTTTTGTTCTTCAGTCTAGTTGTGGAGAACGTTGCTTCACTGGCCCAAGTTGGCACCATCATTGCGCTCTTCCCGGGTGAGGCAGATCAGTCGCCGGCTTCTGGACGGCCACTCACTGCGGCTGCTGGCTGCTCACGCTGGCTGCTGGCTACACATGGTAGCCCATGGCAACCCACTGCCGCAGGGGCTGCAGCCTACGCCGTCGCCGGCGACTCACGGCAGCCCAGCTCCAGCAGGTTGAGCTGTTGTTCAGCATCTTAGCTGTGGAGGGCAGTGTCACTGGCTCTCATATGTGGGATCCGAACCGGGGCCCTCTGGCATCCCAAGCCAGTTCTTAACCATCGCACCACTCGGCCAGCCCTCCAGAGAGATTTTTGAACAATAATTTTTATATGATAGTTTTATGATGGCCATAATTTCTTGTGGTAAAGATATAGTTGTAAAGACCAAAAAAGACATAATTTTTCTTTTGGTAATTTTATGGTAACCGTATTTTCTTATGTTTAACCTGTAGCCCTAAAGAACCAAAAACCCCAAAGAACCAATATTCCTGCTACACAGAGCCCCATCTTTAGTGAGGCCATTTCTGGAGTCCATATGATGACCAAGGTACTGGGCATGGCCGCAGGTATGGGCTCTAGACCTCCACGGGAGCAGATGGGGCCTGTCATGAAAGTTGAGGAGGAGGAGAAAGAGAAGTGCTTTCCTAGCCTGGAAATGTTTCGCCAGCGCTTCAGGCAGTTCGGGTACCATGACACACCTGGGCCCCGGGAGGCCCTGAGCCAGCTCCGGGTGCTCTGCTGTGAATGGCTGAGGCCTGAGATCCACACCAAGGAGCAGATCCTGGAGCTGCTGGTGCTGGAGCAGTTCCTGACCATCCTGCCCCGGGAACTGCAGGCCTGGGTGCAAGAGCATTGTCCAGAGAGTGCTGAAGAGGCCGTCACTCTCCTGGAAGATCTGGAGCGAGAACTGGATGAACCAGGAGAGGAGGTAGGCTGGGGGGACCTTTTCTTACCCTGTAAGATTGGGAACATGTCTGTACAATGATAGCTGAGTGGGAGTTTCTGCTGAGTTAGACCAGATTTCCTCCTATTTTTTCCTACTATCCTATACTAGTTTTAGCCTTAAGAATTGAATGGGAGGGTGTTTTTCTTTTCTCTTTCCTAGAGATTCTATATGGTTCTCCTGAGATTTTCTTTCATTGTAGCTCTTAAAGTGAGCTGTGCATAAACCCAGCCATTGCTAAATGTCTCTAGGTTTCACCTCCTCCAAATGAACAGAAACAGGTGTGGGAGAAGATATCCTCTTCAGGTACAGCAGAGGAATCCCTGAGCAGCACACAGCCACGGTCTGTGGAGACCAGTCCCAAATATGAATCTTGGGGGCCCCTATACATCCAAGAGACTGGTGAAGAGCAGGATTTCACTCCAGAGCTGAGACAGATTCAAGGTAGGAACCATCTGTCAGGCCCCCCACTCAGTGCCCCAGGCCTTTGTGGTTGAAGAAACAGACTAATTGTAATTACTAGTTGTGGGGCGATCCCCTATGTTGACTTGACTGGTTTGGTGCATCTTAGTCAGGGTCCTGGTATGGGAACAGATGACACACTCTAATAAGCTCAGTTGAAGTGAGTTGAATAAAGGCACTGTTTATGGAGATATGGACAGGTTGAGTGGACTAGTTCTTAATGGTGCTTGTTCCTTTGTTAATGATTTTGTGAACCTGTTATAATCAGCATTGGATTATGTAGAAATGGTCCCTGGTAAATTCTTTTTCAACTTTTGCCTCATTAGGCTATTTAAAATTTTTAACTCTTACTAAGTTACTTATTTCCCACACATAGTTCATGGCAACTTGAAGGGAAGGCTGTATGAGTAACTAAGTGATTGCTCATTGTGGAGCATGAAAGGGATTTTAGCTCCTTCTGTTATAGTCACCAGGAGACAGTCAGTAGGGGGTGAGCCTGGAAGCAGCTGAGTGGTAACTGCAGGCAGAGGAAGGAGACAGATAGTAGGTGGGGAGAGAGCGGGGGACAAAGAAAAGGGGGGTTGGAGGAAAGTACTTTGTCGATTGGGGCTTCTGTGCTTGTTGGGAGATGACCGTGCTCAAGGGGAGCCCAGTTTTCAGAGGGAACTTCTCTGACTCTCCTTTTCCATGTATGTGGACTAACAGTTAGATGAACTCTTAGAAGTGTGGCTGCCTCATGAAATGCTCTAAAAAGATACATTGCTTCAATCTGATTTCAACAGTATTACTTTATAACTAAAAGAATTACAAGACAAAGCCAATGTAGGTTAAATGCTATGAGTTGAACCTTGGTGGGAATTATGTGCTTTCATTCAAATTAATAAGGCTGTAGGACTAGAATGATTATAAATGGACTGAGTGTTCTCTTTTATTGCTTTTATATTCAGCTTTTGGGAGCATATGGATTTTTGTGAGTTTGCCACTAGCCTCTTATCCCTTAATTATCCTTTTTATTTTCCTTAATCAAAATTGACCCTTCAGCAATCTTTTCTGTTTTCCTTTTGCCTGAGCATCACCCATCTCTTTTGCTGCTATCCCAATATGTTTGGTTTTTGCATTACTGCTCTCTATATATGAATTTCTTCTCCTGACAGAAAAAGCCATGTACTTATCATGCCATGATAGTTTCTGGTAGGGGGCTTGTGTGAAAGTCTGATACTGTAAACTAGATTTGATGATGCCTTATTTGTATCATTGTGCTATTGTTACCTCTCATAGAGCGATATTTGGTCACCCTTTAAAAACCCATCTATGTCACCTGATGATTCTGTTTGTCCTTTAACAGTTTCTTCTCAGAACAGGAAACTGACATGTCCTTATTGTACTTACTGTTTCAGGTTGTAAATCAAACACCCAGAATGAGGAATCAACAGATATGCAGAAAAGTTCTGAAGAGTCTCATGCAGAAGAATTCAAAAAGGATATTATTCCCATGGTTATTGCCAATAAATGTGAGGCCAGGTTAGACAGGCAGTGGGTAAACCTTGAAAAAGAAAGAGGAAGAAAAACCCCTGTCTTAGATAAAGGTTCCAAGAAAGGTAGAGAATTAATGTCTACTAAACCTGCCCCAGGAGAGAGACGTTACATATGTGCTGAGTGTGGAAAAGCCTTTAGTAATAGCTCAAATCTTACTAAACACCGAAGAACACACACTGGGGAGAAACCGTATGTATGCACCAAATGTGGGAAAGCCTTCAGCCACAGCTCAAACCTTACCCTTCATTACAGAACACATTTGGTGGATCGGCCCTATGACTGTAAGTGTGGGAAAGCCTTTGGTCAGAGCTCAGACCTCCTTAAACACCAGCGAATGCACACTGAAGAGGCCCCATATCAGTGTAAAGATTGTGGGAAAGCTTTCAGTGGTAAAGGCAGCCTCATTCGACACTATCGAATACACACTGGGGAGAAACCTTACCAGTGTAATGAATGTGGGAAGAGCTTTAGTCAGCACGCAGGTCTTAGTTCTCATCAGAGACTCCACACTGGAGAGAAGCCCTATAAATGTAAGGAATGTGGGAAAGCCTTTAACCACAGCTCCAATTTTAATAAACACCATAGAATCCATACCGGGGAAAAGCCCTATTGGTGTAATCATTGTGGGAAAACCTTCTGTAGTAAGTCCAATCTTTCCAAACATCAGCGAGTCCACACTGGAGAGGGAGAAGTGCTTTAACTGACAGGTATGCTCTCTTGGTGGTGGTGGTTTTTGGTTTTGCTTTGTTTGTTTTTGTTTTTAGAAATGAATGATAGGGAGAAGCCCAGTAATAGCAATAGATTTTGTTTTACTCAACACCAAGGGATGCCTGAGAGAGCTCAAGCAGTGGCGCGGTAGGAAGGCAGGCCCTGGATGGTGTCAGTGGATTCCTCACTTGCCAGCTTAACTGGGGCAGGGTCCCCTCACCACACTTAAGTCCCATAAACCATACCGGCATTGCCTTTTGTATAGTTAAATTGATGTGTATCCAGTATAATTATGCAAGAAACATTACAACTGTTTAACAACAACTATGATTTGTAAAGACTTGAACCATGTTGAACACGATCTGATTCAGAATAAACTTACAACATATTGTAATGCTTCAGGACTGTTATTTTAATAACTGGTATGTTGTTTATTGAACACTTCTAGAGAGAAAACTATTCAAACTGGTTTTGCTTTGGTGAAATTTGGATTTGGGGTAAATTGAATGTTTAAACTTGTGAATATGTGTATTAGGAAATTGAAGTAGAGTGTTGAATATCTTGATCTACTTTGTGCTTTTTTCTATATACTAAACACATGTTTTTCGTCATTGAGAACATTTTGTCAGCCTCGTGTACATTTTGGTTGTATATATTTCGTCTCTGCCAAAGTCTGAAAATTTGATTCTGCCTGAGAAGTTTCCTCCTTCTAAACTTCAGAAGGTAGTAATGTACAACTGATTACCTTAAATCCATCTGATCTTTTCCCTATGGCTGCATTCTTTGATTTCTTAAGATAATGCTCTCTCTCTGCCTTATAAAGTCTTGGCCAGTTGGTCCTCCTGTTACCTAGAACCACAGCTACTTCACTCACTACTATCACTTGCTTATCTTCATATTATGAGTTTTTTCCACCTCTGATTAGTAGTCACTAAAATACCTTTTTGTCTACTACTATAGCCCTAGTGGTCAGGCAAACCCGAAATGCCAGGATTGGGGACTGCAAGATCAGAGCTGGTTCTGATCTTTGGAAACTGCCTGTATGCCATCCTAGAATCCAATTAAACTACATGTAATAAGTCTTTATGCACCAGCCAGATGTATTAGAGAGGGGGTCATTTTGGGGGAAAAAATCAATTGTGCCTGAAATTTGAAATGTTCTTACTGTTCACGTAGCTTGCTGATGATCTTCTGGATGTCCCGCCATCACCTTCACTCAGCACCTTCCATGTGAGCTCTCCTGTGTATATATTTGGTTGTCGGAAAAGTCATGACGTATTTTGTCTATGTTTTTCAAAGGTCATTTATATAAATAACAAAGATCAATCAATGATATATTTTGCCCGTTTTGTTCGATAACCTTTTGCCATCTTTCAGTGAGCTTCATAATTCCTCGTTCATAGAAGGACCTGTCTTTATCTGCGTAAAACTGAACAAGGTGCTGATTTACAGCCTCATCTGAATTGAACGTTGTACCATGCAAGGAGTTTTTTTTTTTTTT